TGTTACTACTAGTAAGGCACTTGTTTCTACTAGCTTCTTGTTACTACCAGTAAGGCACTTGTTACTACTAGTAAGGCACTTGTTTCTACTAGCTTCTTGTTACTACTAGTAAGGCACTTGTTTCTACTAGCTTCTTGTTACTACTAGTAAGGCACCTGTTACTACTAGTAAGGCACTTGTTTCTACTAGCTTCTTGTTACTACTAGTAAGGCACCTGTTACTACTAGTAAGGCACTTGTTCCTACTAGCTTCTTGTTACTACTAGTAAGGCACCTGTTACTACTAGTAAGGCACTTGTTACTATTCTGCATGTTTTCAAAAAGTGATTTCTTCGCCCTCTTCACCTCGTCGCTGAGGCTGACGGAAACCTTGCTGAGCGCCAGCGGATCCTGTGGATGGGCCACCTGCACGACTGCATCCACCGCAGCCTCCAAGGCGAAGAAAGGCGACCCAAATGGTTTGAGGACGGATTGTGTTTGAAGAAACGTGTTTCGCTCCGTTTCACGATCAACCCGAACGCATACGAAAGGATCACCTCACGCACAAAGATATCCTCATCCTCAACGAGCAAAAAGTCAAAACTGTTATTTCTCTTCAGATCTGTTTGTTAACTGTCATCCGGTGATCTGTTTTGTGTTCTTGTCTCTCCCAGTGTGTCAGTTCAATTGTCCTCCAGAGCCGTGTACAGCAAGGACAATTGGGTCTCGTCACCCTTCATTGACACCTTCATAGTCAAACTCCAAAGCAGGAGAAAAACACGGAAACAATTCGAACAGAAAGGGAGGCCTTCCGCAAGCACGGCAAACATGCAAACATGAAGCACTACAAGGTCCGACATGGAAAACATGTGAGTATGGCGAGCCGCTTCCACAGCTTTCCGGACTCACGTAAGCCTAATGAAAAAGGCCTGAATTCTGCACAACGTTGCTCGAAAAAAACATTAAACCCAAGAAAAAAACCCAACAGCTGGGCATGAATTTGCTGCTTTAGTGGCAACATTTGGCTGTTGAGTTTGTGGAAATGGGCAAATCTATCTGAGGTTGCCGATGTTCCGGAGCGTTGCGGAAGCCATTCTGGAGTACGTTCCCAAGCAGGCTCCGAGTTCTGGAGCAAATTCCGGAGACTGGCACCAGCTGAAAGCAGTGCCAAACGCCACTTGAAACCTGCTCCAGAACTTCCAGCGGAACCTGCTCCAGAACCTGCTCCGAAGCCTATAGAATGGCTTGAAACATGGCAGAGCATCAAGGGCCTAAGGGAATCTACAAGTTCCACAGTCAAACTGAATGAATCCAAAGCTGGTGATCAGGCCACAGCAACCCGAAGCCGGACCTGATCAGACAGCGCCGAAGCGTTCCAAAGGGGGTTCAGTTTCCTTTCGACCAAACGACCACCAGTGAGAGTTTCCTTTTCATTACGGAAGGGGAATGTGTTTTTATTCTGGGCGCCTTTAATGCAATCCACAGAGGGCCCTCAGTTTGACACGATGTGCCAGCGCCGCATCCGGCACATTGCTTGTGGTATCTTGTGGTACACAAAAGCCACCAAAAATTGACCACAAGAATGCCAGTGAATACGAATGATATGTTTGAGGTTGAGTTTCCCCAAAGTCGCACTAAACGATAGCTTCGCCCTCTCGTGCAACCCATGTAGTCTTTTTGGCGACTATTTGGATTGAGATAATGCCAGTGTGAAAGACAGACTTAGACTTAGACCTCCATTTTGTCATTTCACCGATGTCCTTGGAAAGGGCTCGCGCAGAGCTTGACGATGCGGGTTCGGCTGCCGGCAATACTGAAACGGAAGGCGGAAGGGAGAGTTGAACCCAGACCGCATGCGGCGATCTTCACCGGCTAGCCCTTGTTGCCTTGCGTTGCTCGTTCACACCAGAGGTATTACGCAGAAGTTGTTGCTGCTTTCGCCACAGAAGACCTGGCTGACCTCGAGTCGCAGTTTGACAATGTGTCTTTGGCATTGATAGCTCTTCAAGAAGACCCCGTTAGGGCGGGTGTCTGCAAAAGTGACGCAATCAGTCTCGGCAGCGCCTCATCTGCGCACACGGATTCGACTCAAGTGCGCACACACATCTTATCAGCCCTTGTGCCTCATCTGCGCACACACTTGTTGACTCAAGCGCGCACACACCCCATCGCGGGGACTCAAGTGCGCACACAGGCCCTTTCCCGAATGTTGCTGCGTATTCCAAATTTCACCCCTGCATTGCTCACTTAAAGGGGTAGTCAACTTGGAAAGGCCACTTCCTTCTCTAAACTTTACCCCTGCGTTGCCCAAGTGACTTTCTCACTCATTCCATCAGTCACTCATTCACCCACTCACGTACGACGCACGCACGCACGCACGCACGCACGATAAAAGTGGCCCAACTTGACTCACCCCTTTGTGTGGGCAATGCAGGGGTAAAATCTAGAGAAGGAAGTGGTCATTCCAACTTGACTCGCCCTTTTGTTTGAGGCAGCAAATCCGCGTGTACAAATGAGGCATCTCATTTGCGTGTACAGTTGAGTGACTTTTTCGCGTGTACAGACGAGGCGCCGGCCATCAGTCTGATATCAGTGCCATCACGTGGCTGCTTGAACATTCGCTCTTTGACTGGGTTCAGGAGCAAAACCCTTTGCATGGAGTTGCTCCGTCCCGCTGCAGGCAGTTAGTGGACAAAGCCTTCTCCGCCGTCCATGTCCTTGCGCGAGAGAGGCTGCAGCAACAGTTTGCGCAGCCGGAAGTGGTCTAAGTTCAGGAAGCAACCAGGTTTGCGGTTTGGGGAAGCTTCATATCCACAATGGAAGGGAACAGCCGCGCAATCGCGCAAGGCCGCACACTGCCAGCTGGGCATCCGAATCGAGGCCGAAGCAAGAGGTGCTCGAGAACATCACGTCACGAAAGGCTTTCAAGATATGCAGTTCAAAAAGAACACCAAAAAATAGAGAATAATGTTATTGAAAAGAACATGTTGAGATCTGCCTGGCGAAGGGTGTCGACAGCCACCTTTCGGGCGAACCAGTCGTCGTCCTTGAGGAGTTCACGGCAATCCGCCAGCGTCTGGCATCCGCGGTGCAAAACGTGCGTCCACCGACCGCGGTCGTCTTTCTTCCGAAAATGAAATAAGGGAAAAGTGGTCCAAAAGTGCGCAAACTGGCACGGCATCTAAAGCAAATGGGAGAGGCAACTTGCAACGCTCGAATGTAGCGCCACCGTCTCACCATAAATCTCTGCGGCAAGTGAATAGAGTCGACACTCCAGGGCAATCCTAGGAATAATCTGAACATGTCAAAACGGCCCAGTGCCTTGGCATCTCCTGCAGCCACGTCTTTTCCAAAGCCCTCCAAACGTTTTCGATGCCTGTCGCAATCATGCAAGTCTAGAGTCTAAGCCGTGCAGCAAGATGCAAGAAAGCTAGTTGCGCGAAAGTGATGCCAGCATAGACCCCACATAGCAAAACTAAACCGCGCACTGGGCAGCTGCACGCTGCACCGCCACTCTCCACCAGCACCCAGGGTCCAAAGCGCACCCCAGATAGCATTGGAATCATTGCATTCTAGCTGTCGCGGCTTCTTCGCTCGCGCTTCATAACAAGCGCACGCAGCAGCGGAACCAGCACCCAAGCTCCCAAGCGTACACAGCAGCGGCGCCCTGCAGCCCTCCCTATACTTGAAGTAAGAACCTCAATAGCTCTGGCTATCTGTGGAATAAACAGTAGAGAACAATAGAAGCACTAAAACTGTGCGTTCAAATCTGTCTAGTACCTCTTCCATTCTCGATACACTCTCACTCTATACACTCTGACTCTCTCTTCCCACCGATGTAATTGCTGCGGTCTCGAGATGGCAGCAAAGGCGGCAAAGTCGATGCGGTGCCCTGAGAGCGAAAACACTTTCTCACCACAAAGCACTTGACAAACGAAGTACACGACAGCACCTGAGCGAGGAAGTGTTCCACACCGTGCCCGTGCGCGGACCACTTGCGCCACCGACCGCATGGCTCCCAGCATGGTCAATGTTTTTTCGCTTCTTGGGACTCGAGTATACCGATCTACCGATTCGGTATGAAAACATCTTCAGAAATGGGTTTGATTCCAAGTCGACTTGTAACCTGACCTGTCTTTTGGCCAGCTTCAGAAAAGCCTCTGGGCAGTGTCATAAATGCAGCCGCAAGACCATAAAGCAGATACAAATACTGCAAATGTGTGCTTCTCAACCCAGTACTCGGTAGCCATGGAGCAAAACGCACTTAGAATCGGAAGGAAGTGTTTTTGATGTTTGTTGCATCACACCTGTCGAATTCAGCACACCTGCCGAGCGAAACTTGATGAAATGCAGAGTGGCACTACTTAAACCCACACCGTGTGATTTGTGGGTGGACTACGGACCTAAATAACCTAGGCAGTAGAGTAGTGGCGCAAAAAAAAGGTTGCAGCACGCGGTTTGGGGCACGTCGTTGACTTGGTTTTGACTCTATTAGTGGCGCTGGCTTGAGTGAGGGTTCAAGCGAACTAGGATGGGAAAGAAGAAGAAACTAGAATTAATTATGGAAGACGGTCTCCTTTTTTAGCACGTGGACCCCCCCTTTGCCTCCTCACTTAATTAAGCAGGCGCCCATAGCTTTTTAGAACAAAGGTTCTGAAACGAGCGTTTAGTTTTCGAACCGTGGTTGCTGAAACGCGCGCATGCTGAAAGGTGGTTTCTGCAACGGTCGTAGTGTTTCTGAAACCTGAAGCAGAGTTTGAGCTACGGTTTGAGTGATGGTGCAGAGTGGAGGATGGTCAGTCGCACGAGGGTTGGAGAACACTGGCTGTGATATGACTTGATATGCCAGGTACTCACATGAATACTCATGAGCTCTGAGTTTGATGCCCAAGTCCCACGGTGCAGGGCATCGATATCGGTACAGAACCTTCAACCAGTTGCTCTTCATTTCGACAGCATTCAACGCGGCAAGTACTTGAAGTAGGAACGGCTTCGAAAGCGCAGGCGCCAAGTGTTTTTGGCCCAACAAGAGCAGAGTGCGACAAGCAAACTCCCCAAGCGACGACGACAAACTCTGGTCGTCGAAAAAAGGAAATACCGCGGATTGGTCAAAGCATTGCACTCAGCTGCAAAGCAGAGCGGCGCTGCCGTCCTGGAGCCGGAACCGGAACACCGGCAGGTCACTGGTCAAACGAGAAAGGACGGGCCATGTCGGCCGCCTTCCTCACAGGCCATGTTCGAGTCCAAGTTTGGATCGACGAGCGCAAGATCGCACCACCGGGAATGGGTAACAAAGCAATGCCACATACCGGGATTGTGGCATTCAAAATAATCTTGTCAACCGACGAAAATTACAGGACCGGAAAACCCCACATGTTAACAATTTCACCAGACACAGGAGCGGACAATTGGTGGTGGTTGGTGGCTGGTCGTTGGTGTTGTTGGTGGTTGTTGTTGGTGGTCGTTGTTGGTGGATGTTGTTGGTGGATATTGTTGGTGGATGTTGTTGTTGTTGGTGGATATTGTTGGTGGCTGTTGTTGGTGGTTGTTGTTGGTGGATGTTGTTTGTTGGCGGTGGGCGGGAAGGAGGAGAGGAGCGGATGCAGCACTAAAAAACAAGAACCCCACACGTAAATGTGGGGACAAAATCATTCGTACAGCCTGGAGGATCTCCAACATGGATCTGCTGGAGACAACACCTGCTTTCAGCTACTGTGAGAAATTCTCTTTCCTGTAAGCCCTCCCTGGATGTACGTGAGCTTCGAAATCTCACACACACAGGGACGCAAATCTACTGCGCGCAATCCAAATCACTCACCACATCGGTGCACGGGTAGAGGATGGAGACAGCTGCTTTCCACCACACGTTCGCACGGTGCCCATCTTCCAGTAACGTGTTGCTTTCTATCAAAACTTCCAGCGTCAAATCTAGCACAGACAACCCAACGCACTGCCCCTCGACAAGAAAAATCCACAGTTGTTGCGCATCAAGACTTCAAGACAATCATTCCACACAGGTCAGTCTGTCTCACGTGTGACTGGGTGTGATGTTTGGTGTATGTGGTGCGTGTGTGTGCGCCCCTTGAAATCACAGGGATCCTGTCGGATTGCGTTGATTCTTTTTCCCGGATGCGTAGCGAAGGGTTCCCGTTTATAGTTGGGGGTCTGGGGGTTGGAGCTGTGTTTGCATGGCTTGCGTCGTCTCGTCGTCTCTCGTCGTCTCTCGTCGTCTGTCGTCGTCTGTCGTCGTCTGTCGTCGTCTCTCGTCGTCTCTCGTCGTTTGTCGTCGTCGTCGCGTCTCAAATCTGCTGCCATTGGGGGAAGCTTTTGCAAGTGACTTTTCATGGATGTGTCACGTGTCAGTTTGCGCCGCTATTCCATTGTGATTTGCATGACAATGACATGTCGCGCAAGAAACGTGATGCATTTCGCTGCACAGGCGCAGCGTTTTGTGAGATCCGCAGATTGCTGCGCAGTTCCATTGGGATTAGCGTGTGGAGAGTCGTGTTTTGGGGTGTTGGATGTGGCCGTACCATTGGGATTTGCGTTTCAGGGTGTGGCATCGAAGCTCGGTTTTCGTGACAAGTCTCAGCTGAAATGGTGATTTTGGTGGATGGGAGTGTGCTCAGAACGGGTCGAAATCATTCCAAATGTGTGGTGTGGTGCAAATTTTGTTGAAGCTCACATGGATGATATTGTCACTTTTCGTGGCAGGCGCAGGAATTTGCGCGGGCTTTGAGGCATGGAAGTGCGATTTTCGTGGCAGGCGCAGGGAACCGTGAGCGCAGTACTTTGTGCCCGTTAGACGTGTGGATGTGGAAAGATTCGTGGCGGGCGCAGGGAATTGTGAGGTCGTGAGTTGTGGTAGAGGTGAATGTCGCTGTCACATTGGGATTGGCGTGTGAGCGGACGTTGTTTGGAGGGGCTGGAATCGCGAAACTGCTTGGCAGGGCTGCGTGATGTGTGTGCTCCGATGGGTGTTTACGCTTGACTTTTGGAGGAAGTCTCGTACGAAACGCTCGTTTTGCAGACTTTGACGTGTGAGTTTTTTGAGAAAGTCTCGTACGAAACGCTCGTTTTGGAGACTTGACGCGCAACCCTCCGCGGAGATCGCGCGTGTCGAGTGAGCGAAATGTAGGCGAGAGTGCGATTTGTCCCACGCGCGCGCAACGCTCTGCGGAGATCGCGCGCGTCGAGCGCGCGAAATGCAGGCTGTCCCACAAGAGTGTCCTACAAGAGTGTCCCACAAGAGTGTCCCACGAGAGTGTCCCACAAGAGTGTCCCACAAGAGTGTCCTATAAGAGTGTCCCACAAGAGTGTCCTACAAGAGTGTCCTACAAGAGTGTCCCACAAGAGTATCCCACAAGATTGTCCCACAAGAGTGTCCCACAAGAGTGTCCCACAAGAGTGTCCCACAAGAGTGTTCGACAAGAGTGTCCCGCAACAGCGTCGCTCAAGAGTGTCCCACAAGAGTGTCCCTTAAAAGTGTCCGACAAGCGTATCCAACAAGAGTGTCCCACAAGAGTGTCCTACCAGAGTGTCCCTTGAGAGTGTCCTATCCCACAAGGGTGTCCTGCAAGTGACCCACAAGAGTGTCCTACAAGAGTGCCCCACAAGAGTGTCCTACAAGAGTGTCCCACAAGAGTGTCCTATAAGAGTGTCCCACAAGAGTGTCCCACGAGAGTGTCCCACAAGAGTGTCCCACAAGAGTGTCCTATAAGAGCGTCCCACAAGAGTGTCCTACAAGAGTGTCCTACAAGAGTGTCCCACAAGAGTGTCCCACAAGAGTGTCCCACAAGAGTGTCCCACAAGAGTGTCCCACAAGAGTGTCCCCCACCAGTGTCGCTCAAGAGTGTCTCACAAGAGTGTCCCTTAAGAGTGTCCTACAAGAGTGTCGTGTAAGAGTGTCCCACAAGAGTGTCCTACAAGAGTGTCCCACAAGAGTGTCCTACAAGAGTGTCCCACAAGAGTTTCCTACAAGAGTGACCCACAAGAGTGTCCTACAAGAGTGTCCTACAAGAGTGTCCCAGGAGAGTGTCCCACAAGAGTGTCCTACAAGAGTGTCATTTGGACATATGTAGTTTTTCGAAGGTGTTTCCATTCGGGTTCGTGGGTTCCATCTTGTTGTTTTTCAGCAGGGGGACACGGAACCAGATTGCAGACCGTTGCTAACAAAGCTTTGCAATCTGGTGGGGTATCCAGCTTGGCCAGCTGGACGCACCTGCAAATTTGAATCTTTTGGTAAAGTGCTATCTGCAGTCACGCACGGTACGCCGTCATCCTGTCGGCTCGTCGCATCGTGGAGTTTGACCTCTGGCCTCTAAAGGCCTGTCGTGGCACCTTCGCGCAGTCCTTGGCGCAGTGCTCGGTCTACGACGTACGCGTACGAAGATGCACAATCGCATTGATGAACCGAGGCGTATACTACGTGGCGCACTTCGGGGTCGCTGCTGCGGTCTCGCGCTGAGGAGGTTGGTGCGCGGTTGGTGGTTGGTGGTTGGTTGATCGTTGGTTGTTGGTGGTGGGTGGTTTGCGGTTGGTTGGTTTGAAGCGCTGCGCCCGCCACGCAAATCGTACCGGCGCTGCGGCGGCGACCCAGGAGCAGCACCATGGTGTAACATGGTGTACATCCGACTTCCTGGAGAGAACCAAGTTCTGCGCCTGCCACGCAGTTGAGTGTTGGTTGGTGGCAGTTTGTTGGTGGATGTTCGTTGGTGGAAGGAGGGAGGGAGGAGGAGGAGGAAGGAGGGAGGAGCGGAGACAGCACTAAATGCCAGCACAGCCTGCACCAAAGCAAAGACTAACTCCAAATGGCTGCAGAGATACGTCCTCCCATCTGCAGCACTCTTCCAGCTCAAAGATTGCTTAACAACTTCCACTAGGAAAGCTTGAGGGCAACAAACTGAACTACACGCTGGAACCTGCGTCTCCAAGGCCTCCGGCAAAAAATGTAGAAAAGGCGGCGCAAGGAGACACTATCCTGATCTTCACTGCTCTCAGTAGAAGGCTGAAAGGAGGTGGTCTGCCGTTGCTCAACCACGTGGAAGTAAAAAGAACGTAGCCGGCAGCATGTAGTCTCGAAAAACGCGTTCGCCAATTGCAGCTTGTGTTCATGCTCCAAGGATCGTTGCTGATTGCGGGCCACTGCCGCCTCATCAGCGGCAGTGTTCCACGCACGTAGCCAGTCCTCGAAAGGGTGTCTGAGGCACCAAAACAATCCAGCCAATCACTCGCAACAAGCCACAGGTCGCCGTTGTCCCATGACCGACGGACCACGTTCCGGTCCAGCGAGGTCGTCACGCGTTCAACCACTGAAAGATTGTCTGACCACATGTGAATAACAATCTGCGCCTCAGCTCCCCGCTGCAAAACAAAAAGTCCTGCTGTGACTTCTCACTGTCGAGCACCATGGAGGCGCTACTAAAGTAGAGTCAGCGGTAGCGCTAAGAATTGCCCAAGCCGCTTGTCCGCCGCTGAAATGCTGAGCCATCTGTGAAAACACGTTCCAAAGAATGAGAAGGCCGCCTCTGAAAGTCAGCAACCAATCTTTGTGAGGACAAATGCCACAGCAGAGCCGGAGAGGCATCTTGCACTGTCGATGAATCAAGTTAAGCTAGATGCCGGAGGTCAGCAAACTGTGGGCATATATCAGCCAACGTCGCTGAGAATCCGGAACTCCACACTGTGCACAAATTACAATGAAAGTTGGGGAGCTGTCTGTCCCTTCCGACTCTGGTCAAGGATACGTTCATCAACACCCTTCAAAGCTGTCATGGCTTTGCAAGAGTTCACCTGAGTGGCAACCCATTGCAACCAATCATCCCGAAGAAGCTGCAACAAAAGCTTTGAGTGAGCGCTCAAGAGATCATTGCGTAAGCCAGCTCTTGTCCACGCGTAAGGCAAATCAATGCCCCAACCAATTGCATTCAGCGGTTCAATGAGCTTGGAAAAGGGACCCTGACCCAATGTGCCAAAGAGTCCTGCGTGAACAAATGCCAATGGTGGAAAAGTGATCCAACTTGTGACAAATGCGCGTGAAGGTGAACACCGTGTCCTTCAGTTGGTAGAAGCCTGGGTCGGCTTCCACGGTGCCACGCAGAGATAAAAGGAGCAAAGCATTGCTACCAGCGTTATTGATTCGCAATGCCTTTTGGGCTTGGGCTCGAAGCGCTTGAAGGAACCGACAAATTGGTGCTCCATGCCTGGGAAGCAACTGAAGGCCTTGACGAAGTGCTTTTGTTGCGCCCCACACAAGGTCTTGCGGTCATCCAGACAAAGGTTCCAAAGAGCATAAAAGTTCTTGGTCGTCAAGAGGGCTTCAATGAAGTCATGGGGAAAACCTCCTCGGGCACCAAGGTTGTCAACGTAAGAACTGCAGGTAACTGCAGGACAGAACTTCTTCGTGCATGCACGCCAGGAGAAGTGCACTTGTACCATTTCCACCGCTGACAATACATTTTTCCTCTGGGACGCCAACATCCGATCTCAATGGAGCACTCAATCCTCCACAAATTTCAAATGATCGTCACACTGCGCCAAGAAGCTGTGCCATGGAAGCAAGACAGTCTCAGAGACTTGTAACTGCCGGCACAACATGGCTGGTTGAGGGGGAGACACATTCCCAAAGGCCTTACATAGATCGGAGCTAGAACCACAAAGACCTTCCAGAAGGAAAGTTCAACGCAGCCCTGGACGCCCATCCAAATCTGCGCTAGCTCCCGATGAGGGAGAAAACCAAGGCCCTTTGCAGAAATGTAGGGATCCATTCGTTGCAGAAGAATTTGGGCCTTGACGCGAGTCCAAGTACGATAGATCACACTGACAAGGATATAGACCTTGCCAAAGGTGACCTTGCTCAATCTGTTGCAGCAAGTGCAGCAACGGTCCACGCATCAGGCATATGTTGCAAACCTGCAACAGAAAAGCCGTCAACTCCTCGAGCACTTCGGATTGCGTACTTCTTCAAATCTTTCTTCCAAATACCCGAAGACAGTGGAGGAATGTCAAAGGGAATCCGTGGCAAAAAAGCCTGACAGAACCAACAACGCGCTGCCATTGACCTGGTTGGAGATCAACATGAGCTTTCCATCGCTGTGCCCAAAAGTCATCACCTCTGTATGTATGTCCAACAGAGCCAAAAAAAGACTGTTTCTGAATCTGCATGAACAGTGGGAAATAGATGAACCGCGCAAACAAAGATCAGAGCACTGAGGACCGTGTCCATGATCTGGTCGCGGAGCTTTCAAACCCTGGTAGAGGGATTTGGGAGTCTTGTCATGCTTGTTTTTTGAGCATGGCCAAACATTCCCGAAGGTCCCACGCCTCAAACTGTTCATAGCAGCCCTTGAAGGTCAAGAAGATGAGCTCTGCCTGCGAAGCACTCGAGGCCTGCGAGGCCTGCAAAAAGAAGAGAAGTAGGCGCATCTGGATGACTTGAGTGTCCATAGAGCTGCCACCAGTGACGAAAGGAGCCAGCAAAGCCCTTAGCTGCCAAAATAGCGGACCATAATTCGAGCCGATGAGTGACGGCAGACAAAGAAGTGTTGCCAGCAATGGCAGAATGTCGAAGGCTCTGTAATCGCCTCAATTGTCGAAACCAATGCGTCACTGAAGAACAGAGAAGCGAATTGCGCATCTCCTCCCATTGCCAAAAGCTGACGCGAGGTCACTGTCTTGCTCAAGAGCCAGAGCCGGTGGTGGGGTGACAGGCCAATAACTCCGCACTGTGGCCCAAGGGGGTTGAAGCCGGCATTGGCCATCCTGGACCATTGCACGGTCGTGCCGTCGCACTTCCACCGCCCGGCAAAGGGCCTGGGCTTCGGGAGATAACCATAGGTGATCAATGGTAGAGACGTTTGCTTCGAAGACTGAGAGGGCTGCAGTTGAAGCATTCATGTCCCCACAAACCACACAACGGCCCATGGCACCATAGATGACTTCTTGAGTGACATGTTCAAAAAATGCCTGCGTGCAAGACAAGGCCCCTGGCCATGCGGGTGAAGTGGGATAACCGAATTTCGAGGGCGACTGCAAACTCCAGACCAGCAGCCAGCCCATTCATCTTGTGGCAATTGAGCTCCAAAATGGGAGCGTAGAAAACGAGCTTCATGACGCTTGGGACATCAGAGTACGCCGACACAGCTCCGTTGAGTGCACCGTGAGAAAGAACCTCGACTTCATGATCCAAGCAAATAGCGCGAACGCCTGAAGGATTGGTCACTTCAACAGGATGGTGAACGCAGGACCTGGGTTTGGCGCCTCCCCAATGCGACAACGATGACCACAACCGAGAGCAATATGAGGCAAAGAGAAGCCCCACAGGAACACAAGGCAGAAGAGCCAGAAGAAAGAGCAAATGTTGACCGCATCACAACGAAATGACCCCACATTGCGATGGGTTCAACTGCAAACCTCGTAGGTGTGTTTGGATTGAGATTGATGCTCCACTCAACATGAAGCGTGCCCGGAACTGAATTGTCAAAAGCCAGATCATCAACTGCGATCCCCGACTCAAAATCGTGAGCACCCTGAGGTGTCGAAGTTCCGAGAAAGGATACAGGTGGCGATCCAATGGACCAATACAAGAAACAAAAGAGTCGACTCCAAAAAGCACAGCCAAAAGAAGATCTAGGCGTCCGACGTGGCCAGAGTACTCTGTACGTAAGTTTTTGGCAAGCATAGCTTCAAACCTCCCAAACTGCTTGTCCATCTTCTCTGAGACATCTGAGACCATTTCAGTGCGCAAGGTCTGAAATGAGGCACGAACTGAATGTTCAAGATGCTCCTTGGACGCGTGTACATTGGCCTGAACCTGTGCCATCTGCTGTTGCAACGAGCGCTGACATTGCTTGAAGGACTAGTTCTGTCTCAACCTGATGAAAACGTTGATCAGCTTTTGAGGTGAACTCTTTAAGCTCCTCTTTGAGCTTCGCCGCCACCTGGTCAATATGTTTCTGACCAACCGATCGCTTCTGAATCCGCGCGCTGCCAATGGTCGGAGTAAAGGGTTTGCAAGGATCGCCATGAGTGACCCAAGGTCGGGTTTCCCAGAACCGGCACTGGTAGAAGATGAGGCAGCCTGCGCATGTGACAGAGTGTGTCGTGCATGAAAGAACTGCTTCTTCTCCGTTGATTCCTTCTGTGGAACAAGGTTGGAATCAGCTTGGAAAGCCGGTGAGGAATAAAGAGATCATGGCAGTCCACACGGCATGGCCTGAAAGACCCCCAGTCAAATCCACTTGCCAACCAAATGCCTGCAGATCAGAATGTGAAGGTCGAGGCAAAATCCTAAGTCGTGGGAAAGAAGTGGGAGTAGTAGTCCGAAGGCGATGGGAATCCCAAATTCGATAATCTCGGCCGAAGTACTCTCACACTCAAAATGCCAAAGACGCATGCAAAGGTTATGACTTCGTCCATGCTGGCCTTCGTAGGCGACTCTAGAACAGGAAGATCTTGTGTGAGTCCAAAAGCTTTGAAAGCAGCTGCCAGAAGGACACATTAGCCCAGATTGGGAGACAAATGTGGAAAATTGCTACTGAGATCTACTAAGGAGTTGCAAGAAGGACACACTAGCCCCCAGCACTAAACTGGTTTAAGAGAAAAAACAGAAAGAAATGGATCTTTCGGAGCCAACAAGCGGCACCCGTTTGAGCGGCTGAAGTGAGGCAAAGAGGGATTGATGACTTGATCCAACACGTGTCTCGCAGCACAACAGCTCTCTCAACTTTGACAAGGCACTTGACTTCTTTTTGGCACACGTCTTGTCTCGCAGAAACCACTCACTCAAGTGCCATACTTGCCAGTCCGGGACACCCTCAGCCAAACACTTTCAACAGAGAAAAACCAAATCCAAAGGGGAGCAAAAAAATGGAAACTAAAAAACAAAAAGAAATTGCTGTCGCAATGGAGGTGTACAGAAGTCTACAACTTTGTCTCTGGATTGCTACTAAGAACTCTGGCCGCATCTTGTACTTGGCAATCACCCGGAGCTCGTACTCACTGCGCTGATCCACCTCAAACTTAACCAGTCTGAAACAAACCGTTTAGCTTTTAGGAATCAAGAGTCGATCAAGTTCTCTGATTGAATTTGCTTCCAGTGTTTCTTCAAGTGTCTTCCCTACGCCTTGTCTGGGTCGTAGTCCTCTTCCTTCCAGTCCGCCTGAGCATGAGAGCAAAGAGAATCAAAACAATATAAACACCTGTTTGGTGCCTTACTATTAGGAACAAGAAGCTACTAGGAACAAGTGCATCGCTACTAGTAACAAGTGCCTTACTAGTGGGAACAAGAAGCTACTAGGAACAGGTGCATCGCTACTAGTAACAAGTGCCTTACTAGTAGGAAGAAGAAGCTACTAGGAACAAGTGCATCGCTACTAGTAACAAGTGCCTTACTAGTAGGAACAAGAAGCTACTAGGAGCAAGTGCATCGCTACTAGAAACAAGTGCCTTACTAGTAGGAACAAGAAGCTACTAGGAACAAGTGCGTCGCTACTAGCAACAAGTGCCTTACTAGTAGGAACAAGAAGCCATTAGGAACAAGTGCATCGCTACTAGTAACAAGTGCCTTACTAGTAGGAACAAGAAGCTACTAGGAACAAGCGCATCGCTACTAGTAACAAGTGCCTTACTAGTAGGAACAAGAAGCTACTAGGGGCTCCTGGCATCGCTACTAGTAACAAGTGCCTTACTAGTAGGAACAAGAAGCTACCAGGAACAAGCGCATCGCTACTAGTAACAAGTGCCTTACTAGTAGTAACAAGAAGCTACTAGGGGCTCCTGGCATCGCTACTAGTAACAAGTGCCTTACTGGTAGGAACAAGAAGCTACTAGGAACAAGCGCGTCGCTACTAGTAACAAGTGCCTTACTAGTAGTAACAAGAAGCTACTAGGGGCTCCTGGCATCGCTACTAG